TCCACACCCTGCCACTCCACACCACACCGTCCTCTGCAGCCCTGGCCTTATATGCCCAGTCTCTTGGCTCAGGTGTGCCCACCTATGCATGCCCACACCCTCCTCCAGGTGTCTGCCATCAGGCATGCATTTAATCTAATGGCGGGTGGGCAGAAAAGCCTGACAATCATTTACTCTACATTGGCACTACACATGAGCTTCAGACTCTGACTTAAGTTCAAATCCCAGATCTGCCATATGCTAATTGTGTGACCTTGGGCAAGTTATTAACCTATTCAGCTTTTTCACTGGTTGTCTGAAATGGGACTAGCACTACCTCCCCACACAGGGTAGGGGATTGAAGCATCCTATACAATGCCTGGCAATTAGTGAGCATTCAATAAACATTATTCTCTTAACCTAATGATTGAATGATTGTCAGGCTTTTCTGCCCTCCCGCCATCAGGATTAATGATGGATCCCTGCGGTCCCGAATGCATGCCTGATGGCGGGCACCTGGAGTGAGGTGATGGCAGATGTAGGTGGGCACACCTAGGCTGAGACCGGGCCTATAAGGGCAGCGTCACAGGGACGCCAGAGGAAGAGAACAAGAATAAACAAGAGAGCAGAATGGAACCAGAAAGAGAACGAGACCACGAGAGAACAGAGTGAAGCCCAGAAAGAGTGAAGATTTGCTGGGGGCTGGGAGGAGTCCCCTTGCACCCCTGCCTGCCATGTACCCGGTAAAAATCCCAATAAAAGCCTGAAAAGCCACCAAGGGCTCCAGGATTTTCATTTACCCATCTGCATAGGGTCATAGAGATCCTGCTCTGGCCCTTCCAGCCCCTACACTCCCCTCTGGAGCAGAAGAAACACTTTTGGCAAAGAGTCTACATTCTCTTATATGTCACGTTCTTACTAAGGAAGTACATGACCTTTCTGGACAGAATGGAGCTGACATCCCTCACCTCTCAAAATCTCTATTATACTCCCAGGATGTTTCCCTAACTGGGTGCATAATGTAGCGACTGTGGCTTTCCAGAGATGATTCTGCACCACCTACTTAGAAGCTGTATGTACGCACTTGTGAATTGATTGCCTCTATAAAGGCAAGTTCCCTGCCAGTTTTATTTGCTTTCAGGATATTGCTACTAGGATAATCTTTTCCCTGAAAAGATGGTGAGAAACTTCTGTCGGGAGAAAGAAGAGTCTTTACAGGCCACTACTTCAGTGTTTTTTTTTGTTTTTTTTTGAGGCTATAGTAATGATAGCAGCACCAGATCAAATATGACAATCTTACCCAAAGATTCGTATTCACCAGATAAAGGCATGAGACAGAGCAAATGATAATGAATTCTTAAGAGTAACTGGCCCATGTCCAATTTCCATAAACTGTATTTCTGGGTGAAGAAGGCAGTTCAGCCAACATCAAATGAATGTCTGCTATGCATGGACCAGATGCTATAGAAGAAATATTTTTAAGTGTTCAGAATGCTAAGCTTTGAGGTGTTGGACAGGAAAAGGTGAAACAAGCAAAAACTGTGACGAACGCAGAGGCCAAGGGGGTAGGCCTGATGGTCATCTACATTTAATTCCTCTAAATTCAGCATAATCTAAGAGCAGAGGGCCAAATACAAGCCTTTGGGGGCAGCCCACTTGAAAAGTAAGAGGAAATTAAAACAGCAGCATAAACTACAAAGAGCAATAAAGGGGAAGAAAATCAGGATATTGCAAGGTCAATACAAAAACCAAGAACACTTGGTGGCATCAAATGCAGCAACAAGATCAAAAAAGAGAAGTAGCAAAAGTGATTTGCCCAGGAGGAAGTTAGTAGTAGTTTCTGAGGTTGTGGTTTCTGAATGAGCAGGTGGTTTCCGTTATATAGACAGTAGCTTATATTGGAATGACATTATTTCAATCAACAAATTATTTCACTTAGAACATTAAAGAACAATTATAATTAGATTCACTCGTTCATTTATTTCATTACCATTTGCTGTGCTCTTTCAAGTGCCTAACTCAACTAAGCTCTATGGGATAAGGGTACCAAATAGAAAAGCCATAATTAAATCATGACTTCCCTCTCACAAGGAATCTGGGTTTTAGATCGATGATTGAAAAATCAGTCTTATGTTTAATAACCAACTCCCAATATTCCTGAAAAGCTAACAGTTGGTTCTCACAAGGCAGTGGATGTTGGCTCCAGCGCGTCGTAGTTCTGCACTAAGTCACCTAATCCTTTTCACTGTAATTGTGGTCCCCCTTCCAGCAGCTTGTCAGCCCACACCCAACACCTCCTGAGTCAGAATCTGCATCCAACATGATCTCCACGTGGTTCTTAGGAACATTAAAATTCGAGCAGCACTGAGCTAAAGAACAACTTCAATGGCTGCTAAATTAGGGAATTATTTAAAACTATGTATACACTCTCATTTTTTAACACTAGAACCAAAAAATATTTTTAGAGAAAACCATCAATAATTATGTTTCAAGGCAGCTGCAAAGAATTGCTGTAAAATCCATAATCCCTGAGATTTGCATGTATGATTCTGGATAGAAAATGTGTTGGCAGGGATTCTACTGTTAAACCTTTTGGGTTCAATACCTAACTTTCTGCCAAATTTGCCAACAGAGGAACTGTGGAAAAACTAACCTCTTTATGTCTCAAATTTCCCATTGGTAAAATGAGATGATAGTCCTAGCACCATTAAGTAGTTGTGGAGAGAGAGAGGGAAATGCTTACCCCACAGCCTATAGTAAGTGCTCGATAAACTTTAGTCATTACCACTATTTCCTAGTTGAGGAGGAGAGTGTAGCCATTCTCTACACATGTTTAAAAATAAGGAATTAATCACTTCTCAGCCTTATGGCTAAAATCAAGTATAGAAATAAGAAAGCTATGTTTTTCTTGGTATGTCTTCTAGAAATTCTCATTTTGATTAGCAACTTTTATACCATTGTAGGGTAAGGAAAAATGTTAGGCTTTTCTGCCCTCCCACCATCAGTCCTGAATGCATGCCTTGCAGTCCTGAATGCATGCTTGATGGCGGGCACCTGGAGTAGGGTGTGGGCATAGGTAGGTGGGATTTACCTGGGCTGAGACTGGGCTTTTAAGGGCGGCGTCACGGGGACGCCAGCAGAAGCTGAAAGAGAAGCCGAGAACAGAGAAGCAGAGAGAACACCGGAGAGCCCAGAAAGAGTAAAGACTTGCTGGGGGCCGGGAGGCCTGCCAGCCTCCCGGCCCCCCAGCACTCCTGCCTGCCGTGTACCTGCTAAATCCCAATGAAAGACCTGCAAAAAACCACTGAGGACTCTGACTCCTCCTTTACCCAGTCTGCATTGGATCAGGAAACCTGCACTGTGTCCAGTCCTGCCTTTACAACCATGTTTGTTCCCTACGAATCATAAGCAACACTTGCTTATGATTACAATTACTTCTAGAACTTAAACATTAAAAATAAAAATGCAAGTCTCATTTTGCTAGCTACAATGATTTTGATTTATATATTCTTTCCTGATATTAACTTCTTGTTTTCCTTTTTTGAATTAAAAAATGTTTGGTTTGCCACATCACAGTCAAGGCGACAACTTAGAAGGGCAGTAAAGTTTAAAAAATACCAAATCCCAGCATGTCTTATGTATGCTGTGAGGAAAAGCAGAAGTGGTATTTATACCTTGTGTGAGATTTTTTTTTACAAATATAAATGCCCACATGGAAGTGGTCTAAAGGAACCTGAAGTTTCCTCAGTTTCACACAATAAAGTATACGTTTCTTTCCATCTCATTATTTAATCAGTTTGGTTAGCCGCCTCACTGGCAAAGTACCAATTTGGATTCTGACAGGAGCAAAAACATCTAGTCACAAAGAATCCTGTGTGAGCTCTGAGGAAAAACAGAAATGGCATTTATACCCTGTAGTAGGTATTTATTTCCACAAAAGTTTGATGCCTACAACATAAACCCAGTCCTCCACAGGAAAAGGCCAAAACTGCCAAGCTTTCCACACTTCCAGAAAATACACCCATGGCGCTCTGCTTCTCAAAGGGAGTTCAGAGTTGCCTGGCAGTTAAGCAACCTGGTGCCTGGAAGTGAGACAACCCACAGGATACCTTTGGCACATGGAAGGTGGAGGTGAATTTTACAATCTTGTGTGCACATGCACACATTAGCTCTAAGGGACTTTTGTAATTGGCTATCCCAAATAAATCCACATTAGGGGTGTTTTTTCCTTTCTGCTTTCCATTTTTTACTACTGAGGAAAAGCTGTTCACACACACACACACACACACACACACACACACACACACTAAAGAAAACCTTAACTGTTCTTCAAGGCCACCCTAGTGAAAAATACTCATTGGAAAATCACAGATTATCCTTTAAATATTAATTTCCTTAGCTTTACAAATTCCCTTAGCCAACTGCATTTGAAGAGCCGCTGTTTATCAGTTGTGTTATTCTACCTTGTCAGGTTGTAATATCTTCATGGAGAATATTCTTTCTCCAATGACTTCAAGTATTTTAAAACACGTACCTTGGGCCTCCCTGGTGGTGTATGAGGTTAAGATGTAGCACTATGAAGCTGCACCCTGAGTTGGATCAATCTCTGACCAGGGAGCTAACCCACATGGGTTAGCAGCAGACCTCTCCTGTCTCGCCCTCTGCTCCCTTCAGCAGTGTATTTCAGTAGATCTGCCTGTTCTGTTCTCCATTCTGTCTCTGGTGAATCCTCTCAGCCCCCTACCTTTGACCTGCACCCCAGCTCTTGTACACATAAATCTTTAAAAAAAAAAAAACAACATGTAACTTGAAGTCATGTCATTAATCCTCAGGCAGTAGTGCTAGTTTTTGTCCACTTAAAATCTTGATTGACTCCCTCTTATCAAATTCAAGGACCATGTGGATGCGTGGCAATCAAAAACGAGCTAGGACCTGTGTATTCGTGGCTATAGCAAGAAACCCCAAACAAAAGAATCCCCCCATTTCAACTCAAAGTTTAAAAGTTAATTTCCTTATTACTTCAACTCGAAGTTTATTAATTTCATTACTCCACAAAGGTGCAGGTTTCAACTCTCCCCATCAGCTCCACAACATTTGATCTACAGAATGCTAAGCATAGGCCATTTTATCACAAGCAGTCCTTTCACAGGGAGTTGTTTTTGTAAACAGGGATGTTAATATCTCTTAATGACATGGAATCAGACCCCAGTTTTACATTTCATACCCCAAACTGTATTCCAAGTCGAAATGTGGGGCTTCACTTTCCCAGTGGGGAACAAGCACCCCAGCAGATTTTCTAAGTTAATGTAAAGACGATTTTAGAAGAAAACAGTATTTATTGTTTAAAAGATTTATATTTATTAATCAAAGGCACACATCGAAACTAAGACTATTATTAAAGTTGACCATAATATTGACAATGAAGTCCTATCAACCTGGCAAGGAAATACTAGCTAAAACGAATGAATACGAGATGCTTTAAATCCCTAAGGAAAATAACAATTCCGACACCGTTAAAGTAATAGAACCTTTCAAACAATGGGGGAAATATAAACAGAACAAATACCTCAATTTGGAAGCAAAGAAATGCAGTTACTTGTTCTACAACCTGATGTCACAGAACGCTGGTATGCCATTTTAGTCTTGGGGGGCTTAGGTCAAAGACCCTTACCACCATTCTGGCAATGCTGATGGGTGCCATCCAACTACAGGCTGCACTAACATTCTACAACGTGACTCTGCCTATCAACAGAACAGAGACTAACAAAACCTTGTCAACTTTTTGACACAAATTATACAATCAATCAGATAACCTTGGCTGAGAAGGGGGCAGTTCAGAGGGGTCCATTTCCTGACACATTAACAGTAAATTCAAAGGGGTCAATTTTCTCTCTTATACACTACATGAAAACAGCAAACTCACAGTGCATTTCAAACACCCCACATTGAGAAAAATAAGTCAAGAGGAACACCGTATTGCTTCATTTACAATTTACTAGCTCTTCCAGTGTTTCAGAGTGATATGGGGTGTTTCAATGATCTAACATGAATGGGACAGAAAGTGGACTTGTAACACTGAATAAATGTCTTGATTGAATCAGACTATCGTAATTTTTCAGTCTATCCGTAAGTAGTTAGTCAGTCCTCCATCCAGGCAGTATTGTAGTTCACAGGGGGAGGGGAGGATATAAATGTCCTAAAAGTAAAGAAGAAAAGTTAATGTACTCGCAACCCAATTTTCAATATCTCTATTTGCTTGCACACATTCTAATCTATTCTGCTAATGAAGACCTTCAGGTGTTCCTAGTCAGTGCCTCAAATAAAATGTGAAGGGTGCCCCAGGGATTACTTCACTACTCAAATATTGAACTTATTAGAACACATTTCTCTCCCAAATCTGGTTTCCGGTTAGGCAAGATGAGTTTATGACTCTAACAACTGTTTACCATAGAACTGGGGTGAATGAGAATTAGGAAAAAGACTAGAGAACCTGGTAAGAGCACAGGGTACTTGTTGCCTGGGAACCTAGCAATAAGGCCACTTCTGGGATTCTTCATTTCTCTGACTCTAGCTACACATTTGTTAGAAAGGGGACTACTCAGGATCTTTAGGCTGACATGTGCACATAAATTCAGAGAGGCCCTTCTGTCCTTTTTGACCGTGCCTAGAGTTTAGAAGACCTGATCTCTGCACCAACAAAATCTAAATACACTACGGGGCAAGACTACCTTGGCAAACAGTGGTAAACACCAACACTGATAGAAGTGAGCACCAAACTGAACGTACCTTAAAGTTGGAGAGGAGTAAGCCTGTGATACGCTGGTTATACTATTTCATACTGGTTATTTGTTATGGCTCGAGAGAGGCAGTAGGCGAGAAAGATTCCAATCAGCTGGGGATAAAATATAGACAAAATTAAACACACACAGCCTTAAACACCTCAAGACATAGGTATATTCTCCTTAACTTCTGAACCACCAAACACTTCCTTAAGTTCAAATTCTATAAGCACAACTCAGGAAATACAACTTGACCTTGTATGAGCTAAATTTTAATAGGTTGGAACCTAGATGCAGCAACTCATCAGGCAGTGGCAGCCCAGGAAAGAGCCTAATAACATTTTAGAATCTGGAGTGAGTGCAGAGCAAAACAAGGTCCCCCATCTAGCTTATGTTTTGTTTAATGAACTGCAATGCAGGAAGGCTGCCGTGACTAAGAGGGCACCAGGTCTTTCCACAGCTAACTGCTTTCAAAAGGTAGGTACTGCCTGAAATTCAGTCTAAATCTTGCTTTTTGTAGTTTCCAAGACATGACTAGTCGTGGTAAAAGGGAAAGTCATGTGGGAAACAGAAGATCCAGAAGATCAAAAAATTGGAATGGAAATAGCACACCGCCCCTTCCCAAGTAAAACAAAGCTAGTTACAAAGATCTAATCACAAGACATAAATGTCTTTCTATAGCATGATGAGCAACTGACAGCTTTGTGAAAATGTGACTGGCTACTAAGGCCCCAGAAGGAAAACCTCAAAGCCTTCAAAGTGGAAATCTTCTAGTTTACACCTACAAGAATGATGAAACCTTTCCTAGCTACAAAGACTTACCTGGAAGCAAGCGACTCCAAAAGAAATTCCTGCAACAACTCCCATTTCTGACTCTATAATGGTCATCACCTTTATAAAACAACCCTTACGTGAGAGAAAAAAAAAAAAAACATTAAGTACCTCAGTAATAAAATCTGTGATACATCTCCTAAAGATGAGCTTCAGCTACCTCAGCCTTGGTGATTTCATTAAAATTTGCTCTCATATGAAAATTCCTGTTATTTTCAAGTGCAATGCTCTCAACAGAAATTTGGGGAACACAAGTTCCACCTTTTGGATTATGCATTTAAAAGTTACTTGCTAATTTTGTGAACCCAAGTCACAAATTTTCTGAGCTAGAGTTTCCTCCTTTACTCAGTAAGATTACTACTTGCCCTGCCTATTTCAAAGTATGTATATTGTAAGTAAAAAATAAAAATTGAGTCAACTCTATATTCAGTTAATATTTTCAAATAAAAAATCGTAAAAGCTTCTTACTTCACTGTTTACTTTATCTTCATCTTTCTGTGGAGAACAATCTTCAAGTTTACAGCAGCTTTTAGGAAATCCTTTTTCTGAGTAATAGGCGGTAACCTTCCAATCATTAAAGTTGGTGACACCACAACAATGTAACTGAAAAAAATCCAACAAAAACTTTAGAGTCAAACATTTAAGGTATCATCTTAGATTGCAACCTGCCCTCAAAACATTATACTCAATGTACTCTAGCCTGATATTTTAAAGACATTGTCCTCAACTGGCATTATAATTCAAATGATTTAGCACTTGTTCCTTAACACAAAATGTTATATTTTACAGTTAAAAAAAAAAAAAAAGAGGCAGGTGAGTAGAAAGATTAGGAGAAAATGGAGAGATGTCACTTGGTATCATGCCACATTTCTTTCCAGGGACACATTTCCATTTTCCCCTAATCTGAGATATTGAGAATATGGAACAAGGGGACAACATCCTGAGGGGCTAAGGACTGTGCTCCCCTTCTGGGAAGTCCGGCCTATGGCCACTTACCGTATTTTGGATCTTGTCTACTGCATCGCTTCTATAATCTCCTGTAGTGTTATATTGTTTTAAAGCATTTTCATAATTACTCTTGAAGCTGTTCTTAATCTATAACAAAGAGACACAATGTTAGGAAACAAACATTCTAGGAAGTTCTTTCAGTCTTATCTTTGCAGCAGCAACAAGTATGGTAATTATAAGGTCTAAGCCTACCTTTTAGGGAATATAGTTTAACTAGGGGACAACTAAACAAAATATAATATATAATAAAAAAATTAATTACTACAAATTCAAAGTCCTATGGGAGCATGTATTTCATTCAAGTGCATGAAACATTTAATCAATATTTTCCTAACAGTAAAGTTCTATTATCTCCACTTTCCATAAGTACTTTATACACAGAAAAATTATTGGAAATACATAGAATGATGGGTACCTTTCAAAGTAGGCTAGAATATTCACAAGAAAGCCCATATTGTTCAGCTACAGGTTGAAAAAGTAAACTTTAAACATAGCTGTAAGTGATCTGTAGACTATTAAAAGATGTCTTCAACTCCACTCATCAATTTTTCTCTTAGTGCACACATTTTTTAATATATTAAGGTTTCCAAACTCAAGGTTACCTCATGTCTGAAAACAAACCCTACGATGGCAGCGACCAGTTCGACCAAGAAAACGAGAGTCAGAAACATTGCATACTGTGGATTAAAAAGGAAGGCCAGTCAGCATGAATAAGATACATTACAGCTGCAAAGGGAGACTAAGGGGGGAAAAATGGTCTGCTCAATCCGTTCTGCATGTTTTTATTGGAAAGGGCAGGGAAAACACAACAAAAGTGGGAATTGGCAGCTGAACTGTTACTTGGAAAGTTTTCAGAAGGAACAGGAAAAATCATAAAGGGCCATAGCCAGTTCCAAGAAACAAAATGTACAGCGTAGAGGACTTTTCTACAAGCAAGAATCAACTGTAAAGAAAACAAGGACTCACCAGTTTTAGCATCCATGCAGAAGCTCGGCAGGTAGCAAAACAGCCAAATGTGCCCAAAAGAATAATGACAGTGCCAGTGCCAATGAGCACGAAGGGGACGTTGGTGGCCTTCTCATTCAAAAGGGAAAAATAATTCTCCAGGCTCACCTTCCCCCAAATGCCAACAACAAGAAGGATAACACCAGTGATCTACAGGGAAATGAGAGAATGGAGACAGTTATACATGTGTACAGCAGCATCTTCAAAACACAAGCCACTAGGTATTTAAGAAACAACAGGTGTGAGAATTGATTTAGCAATCTGTGACCACAGAGCTGAGGCTGGAGTATGGCAGACAAGGGGAGACAAGAGAGGAGGGCAGAGGGGGTTCTGCACACAAGGGCAGGCCTTACTAAACCCACAGCTAGATCACTGGGCAGCCAGGGTAGCCAGGGCCAAAACCAGGTGGGGTACACTGGAGTAGGCAACTTAACACAATTCCTAAACTTCATCTTTTTGTGTAAACACAAGCCCACTGCTTATTTGTCCTTAGGAATCAAAACTTCCTTAACTGTCTTACTGCTTCCTTGGGGGGAGGGGAGGGAAAGCCTTCCTGGAAAGAAAACAAAAGTTTCCATGAGTTCCAGGAACTCCCCCTCCCCACATTCCCCTCTAACAACTCCCCACCCCAGTCCAGCGCAGAGCCCAGGGTACAAAGGGGTGGGAAACAAAAGCCAGCCCCAGATTGGCGGGAGAGGAGCCATTACCATACTTACCTGCGAAATACTCCCCTCTTATGAAGCAGTGAAAAGAAAGAGACTATTATGCAAGCGAGCCCTCAGAGGGGTCGGGCAAGCCTGGCCTCTCCAACGGTCAGGGGACACCCCTCTGCGGGCTCCGGGAAGGGGGCAGGGAGGGTCAAACACTCCCTTCCTCGCCCTCCGCCCCGCCTCGAACTCCAACGCGAGACTCGTCCCGGCCTCGGCTCAGCCGGTCGGCTGCGGTCGTCGCGCACCCCGACCCCGGCGCAAGCGTGACGCCCCCAGCTCGGGCCCCAGCAACGCGCGGCCGGCGCCGGGGTCCCAACAGCCACGGCCGCCCAACCCCGCGCGCGCCTGCCCCCCACCCCGGCCCTGAGCTCCCTCCGCTCACGGCCACACCCCCCCACTGCAGCCCGGGACCCCCTTCCGTCCCCAGGCGCTGAGTCTCTCACCCAGAAGATGAACGTGTAGATCAAGAGGACACTCTTGAAACAAGTAATGACGGGTTTCGTCTGCAGCCTTCGAGAAGGGGACGCCATGGCTAGCCCCAGACCCTGTCCCGCCGCACCCGGCGATCGGAACAGAGCGAGCGAGACGCGGAGTCCCCGAGTCTCCCCGAAAACCGCCGAAAACTTACGAGCGTCTACAACTGAGAAGAGCCGGAAACACTGCACGAATTTCTGGAGGGTAAAGTCCCGGAGGCTGTCCGGAAAGTGACGACAACTTCCGAGCGCCCCCTGCCGAAGGTTACCGAAAACTATATACAAAGGTTCTAGTGTCGGAACTTTCTTAGATCTTCAAGTGGAGCTTTCTTCGTTTTCGTCTGAAAGGATCTTTCCCACCCCCCCACCCATCCCCCGCCCTAAATATAATTTCTACATATTCTATCACCAGCAGCGCCAGCCGCGCTGGGAGCTTCGGCCCCGCCGGCCCCTGGTGCCCTAGAGGGGAGAAAAGGAATGAAAAGAGATTAAAAGTGACCTAAGAAAGAAAGGGCTTATTACATGGCAAATACAATTCCAAAGCGAAACAAGAATTGCAAGGGATACTTAACAGTCACGTGTTTTTTTTTACAAAAAACGAAAGGAAAAATGAAATTTACCTGAGTGGTGAAATTGGGCTGAATGTCCCCCCATTTGTTTTGTGCTTGCCAGTTTTCGAACATTGTTTTATGCGGCAGAGAAGGGGCATAAGAATGAATGGGTTGTGGGCTATGGATTGTCAGAAGGCACCCCTGAGTCAGAGGCACCCCGGAGTCAACCTTAGAGATAAAGTGGAATTAAAAAAACGCACACTACACAGCCTAAACACTGCTGATAAAAGCTGAGGCTGTTTTTGAAACTTGGATCGTGCAAATCAGCAGGGCCTTCTTATAGGGTATTTAAAGTTCTTTGATGCATCTGTAAAATGGAGATGTCTCTTTCAAAAAAGATGTTATGTGTGTTTTTGCACGGCAAGCAGGAGTAAATGCATTCATTTGACCTGTAACAGGTTAATCCTAAACCTCCCTCTAAAAGAGGGGAAATGAGCTTAGGCAATGAGCTTAAGCACAGCTATCCACTGTTTTCTGCTTTCCGGCACCTTTTAGGCTTCAGGAGAGACCAAATGAACCATTCAAATTGTCCTCAGCTTAAATAGATCTTTTACTTCTCACAGGAACCTCAGAATAGCGTTGTCTTTTTCATCTAATCAGGTCCAAAACACATTTACAAAATGAATTAAGTACAAATGAATTAATCAAGTGGCCTAAGCAACCTGGTCAAACAGACATTGGTTCAATCCCTAGCATTCATCTTTCTAGAAATGCAGGAGCGATATAACCAAGGAGAAAAGAAAGATCACTGTTAGGTGTCAAGATCCAATATTCAGTTTGGGTGTTCCTGCTCTCTCCACAAAAACATGTTTTTCCCCCAAAGTGGTTTTTTCCTATTAAATCATGCGTGTCACTATCTCTATGAGAGAGGGGGTGCTTAGTGTGTGCTACTGTCTTCTGGGATTACAAGATAGCATCCAATTCTTACCCAGCCCACCGCCTCACCACCCACACAAGCATCACATCACAAATGGGCATTCATTGCATTGCTGTTGCAAAATGTCCTGTGTTATTGGTGAGGTGGATACCCAAACCTTTTCACTTGAAACCTTGCATTTAAACATATGTTACAGAAGCAGAAAACTGGAACATTCCATTTGACTTAGTCACACAGAACTTCCTTGTGCTTTCAATATTGACCTAGGAACATGTGCTGTAGCATCATGCCACGTGTATGAGGTCAAAGGGAACAAGGACTGGAAAAAGAATTGCACTACCAGGCTTTATAACTAAAATTTTATTCTAAAGTTAGAAAAACCCAACACATAAGCACACAGAGAGAATGGGTGAATGATACATCCATACACTTATAAATACTGAGGCAAGGTTGGGAAATATAAATGGGGAGACCAACTTTTAAAGCACCACTTACGCCATAGTAACCGGAAATGACGTTAAAGGGAGCTCTAAGTTATGGACTACTTTCTCCCTGTCATCTTAAATGGAAGTTTCCTTTGAGTATTAGATTTGTACCAAGTCCAGGAAGGGATTTTTGGTTTTGAGCCCCAGAGCAAAGAAATATTTCTGTGGCTGAAGAAAAAATAAAATAGTTTAAGGAAAAGCCACATTTTATTTCCAAGAAAGTGTTGGTCTGCTCTGCTCCCTTGGCCACTCACAACACTGCTTTGTTTGAATAACAGTCAATGCCAAATTAAACCAATGGCTGACGTGGAATTTAATATTCCTATGGCCACAACACCTTACACTGCTACCTCCTTACCGACCCCCCGCCCCACCACACCAGCAAACCCAGAAATTCAGTTTAGTTCCACCAGGCCAACGGGATGTCTAATTTCATCTAAGGCAAAGTAAGAAGTAATTCTCTTGGTCATAAGATAAATGTATACTTTAAAGTATTAATTTGACTGTAATATGGAGCACTATGTGCCAACCACTGTTGCTAAGCATGGACCCATGTTACCACATGCTTACATCATGAAAGCCCTGATTGTGAGGTCAAGACTACAACTGCCCTCATTTTACAAGTGAGGAAACAGGTTCAGAGAGGCTAAGTAACTTGCCTAGGACTAAGCCCGGCCAACTGCTACTTCCCCCATCAGAAATGGGGCCCACGCAGTGATAAGACATGACTGCCATGGTACAAACCGCTGTGTTCCCCAACAAAGACTACTGGATTCAGTATTTAGCCATGAACAACGGCTCTTCAGAGCCCCTGAAGCGCAAGGGCCTTAATGATTTTCCCCAATTGTGCCTTGCAAGAACTTGAGGGGTTTTTTTGTTGAGTTTCCTTTGACTTCACTCCAATAGCCCAATTACCTAGGAAGTGACCCTGCCCATCCCACATGGATAAGGTGGAGACTTCAATACTTTTTCTGGTTCAACCTCTTAATAATCACAAAAAAGCACATACTGTTCCTGCTTGTTTTACAGTCAACATTTTGTAGGCATTTGTGTCCCTCCCCTACTAACTCCCTGTAACCTTCAAGATCAGTCTTAATTTATAAGGGGAAGCATTTAAACTATGCCTCCCCCAACAAATACATTTCCCATTTATTTCCCCCACTTTTCACAATCAGTCATTATGAAGATCTCCCCAATAAACAAATTGTGTTCCCTATACCCCCTTCCCACTCTCCATACCTCACTCAACTTCTCACCCTCTACTTCCTACTCCCTACTTAAGGTTCAGCTCAACTCAGTGTGAGTGTCCTCCCCCTCCCCTCTGCCCCCTCCCACCACCACCCTTCTCTAACCTCAGTGCCCACTCACATTAACCCAGACCCTTAGCCAATTACTACGGTACCTGGTACTTGCTTTCTTCTCTACTTACCTGTCCTACATCCTGCTGTCTATGTTTAGAAACTAGAGAAGAGCCAATTTGGCAGGCTCCTGCGCCCCTTTTATAGTCTCCCAAAGGCCCTAGGACATAATGCTCAATTGATGAGGTCATATGGTGCTCAGCCAATCCCTTTTGAGTACACTGGTCATAGCTGGTTGCTAAGGCTAACTCCTAAGGCCCTTAGGAGTGAGTTAAGGTTTGGTTTCTTAAATAAAAAAGCAAATGTCTAAGTCATCCTAGTATCACACTTTTAATAAACAGAAAAATTAAGTGCTGGATGATGTTTTAGGACATTACTATGCCTGTCTTAGAAATCAGTAAAAAGTTATCAACCATTCCACTTAGAATACATCTTATCTCTTATTCACATAATAGCCTTACCATTTTCATTTTTAGTCCCTTTCATAGACTCTCCTCAATTACCTTTGGCTAAGTGCCTATCATAAAATTTAAAACCACCTCCTATTTATTTTCTTAAAATCTCATATTTTACATTACAGCAGTCAGCTAAACATCACTTAGACAGATTACTTAAACATCGAGATAATTCATGTATACAGTTTGAAAAACCAGTTTTCCGAATGAGAATCTTTTTTTTCCCATTGTTACTGGCATGTTCGCATTATTCCTTCTGTGCAGTTCCCTTTTTTGTTTACTTTTCATTCACTTTTCTCCCACCCACTCCTTTCAGACTCTCCAAGAATCCTTTCTTTCCTTCCCAGACTAACTGTTTCTTCTTTGAAAAGACTTATACACTTTGGAACACACAAAAATGAAATACTTTTGAACGGTATTGAAATTCACAGTTCCATGTCAATCTGCCTTCGTCCATTTTCTTTGAACTTTGTTTCCAATCTAGCCTTGTTAACTTTTACTGAGATATCAGCTAGACAAGTCAGTTTCCATATCTAACATTTTTAAAAACAATACCTTATTGACTGTTGACAAGCTTCATATTTGCGCTTGATGTTTAAAGTGGTACTGGACTTTGAGAACTTTATGTTTGTATGTATAGATGTGGTCAGCTTTTTTGAAAGATTTATTTATTTATGTATACAAGAGCTGGGGTACAGGCTAGAGATGCGGGGTTGAGAGGATTCACCAGAGACAGAGTGGGGAACAGAACAGGCAGACTGACTGAAACACACTGCTGAGGGGAGCAGCGGGCGAGACAGGAGAGGTCTGCTTCATCATGTGGGTTTCTCCCTGGCTGGCCAGGGATCAAACTCGTGCTGCAGTGGCTGCGGATTGCTTCATAGTGCGGTGCTTAACCCCTTGTGCCACCAGGGAGGCCCCTGGTCAGTGTGTGTGTGTGTGTGTGTGTGTGTCTTATCTTCCCAACCAACCCACAGGGAGAGGTGTTTAATGGAACTTTATACCCCCAGTGTTTAACATAGTGTTACCCGCATATAACAGGTACCAAAGAAGGTTTTTATTTTTATTAAACCCATCTGGTTTGGTTGAGTTCTTTATGTTACTTATCCCAGAGCTTCACCAGGAAGGCTCTTTCCTCATTTATTCCCTTACTTTGATGTCCTTTTGATTTCTATATTCTCCTTCCCTTTCTGCTTTAACCGCTCTCTTCTACCCCTCTGTCCTGCTCCTTCCAGCTCTACGTAGGGCATGAGTCTTTATCCAGCATCTTTACCCTAGCATGCGCTAAGCCCTAAGCTTGGTGCTGGGGGCTTGAAGAAGACTAAGATAAGGTTTTTGCCCCTTAAGTACTCACAGCCAAGCAAGGGGACATGGCCCTCATGGAATGGAGGGGACAGAGATTCAATAGAAGTGTTCTTAATTACAATTGTGTGTGTTTTGGGAACTAATCTCTCTGGACATCTACTAGAAGCTAAGAACCGGGGATACAGTGGTAAACACTGTCATCCTTGACATG